ATGATTAAACTAAATTAAAATAAACTAAATTGCATTGGTTGGACTTATTTGCCAAAATACCACTTAGTGGCCCACTACATGGAACCTTTGAGACTTGCCTTCATTCTATTTTGTACATTTCATCAGCCTAGTTGAGTGTATAACCGGCTAGAGAGTGAGGGAGAGTGAGAGAAGTGAGTTTAACTTGTTTTCACCTTGATTTTGCTTGGAGGCTTAGGGGATTTGGAAGTTAAGTGCATAATTGGGCTTCTAGACCTTTAATTCAATACATAAGGTAGAGCTTTTACCTTCTTGTGTTTGATTTGAGTTACTTTTAGCATGTTTTAGAGGATTGTTAAAGGTTAGAGCCAAGACATGGCTTATAATGTTGTATTGTAGCTTAATTCATGCATGCATGTTGCCATTCTTGAGTTTTGAAATTATTGTTCATGAGATTGCTTCATGCATGTTCATCTTTTGATCATAGTTCATGATTTTACCATGTTTTAGAAGAAATTGGCTCATTAGAGCATGTAATTGAAGATTTGAATTGGTTTAAACTTATGCATGTCATGTTTGAGCTTTGTTCATGAAAATTGGTTTGAAATTGGATTTAATTGAACTACCTTTGGGCTTTAATTTCTCAAATTGATCTTTGAAACATGTTATACTATGGGTTTTGAAGTGTTTTCCAGAAAATTAGCCCAAAAGGATCGAATTTGGTACATTGAAACTTGGTTTTGAGCTTGAGGTTCGAATCTGGAATTTCTAGATTTTGGACTTCTGCTCGAGCGGAATTACTGGCGCTCGAGCGAGAAAATCGTGCTCCCAGCACTTTGCACTGTTTTACAGTCCGCTCGAGCAGGGTATTGGATGCTTGAGCGAGGACTTGTTTCACACGCTCGAGCGGGTATCGAGCGCCCAGTCGAGCGTGATTTTCACACATCCAGTACTTTTTCAGTACGCTCGAGCGGGAAAGTTTACGCTCGAGCGGAGTCTTTTGTTTGCATGTCCGCTCGAGCGGGGAATCCCACGCTCGAGCGAGACCCCTGTTTTCTGAAAATTCTGAAAATATTTTCTAAGTGCATCCTTGCATCCTCATTTCATTCTCAGCATTCTTAGGCCTAGTTTAAGGCATCTTAATGAGGATATTGATGTAGAACCACACCGAGTCAAGATAGGGATTAAGTTATTATTTTTCCAACTATGTAGCTTAGTGTGTGTTCATTCTGCAACTGTGTAGGATTGGCTTTCGGAGACGCGCTCTAGCTTATCCGTAGCCCAGAACTCTGTGAGTAACAATGTTGTAAAGATATGTTCGAAAATGAATATTTTTTGAATGATCAATTGAACTGTTTTCTGAACTGTTTACTGTTAACTGAATGAATGTTTGTCCTCTATTCTGAACTGTATTGTGGCATCCATAGCAATATACTGTTACTGAACTGTTACTGCTACTCTTACAGGGATTTCTGTTAGTTCCCATGTTTGGAACCATTACTGATGGCCATCATTGACTGTTCGATCTCTCAAGACCTACTGTTTACTGTACTGTTTCTGCTAATGGATGTACCACATATAACTGTTATGACTAAATGACTGTTATACTGAATCAATTGACTGTTTTCAATACTGAAAGGACATCCATTCTTAACCTCTTTACGCATTATGTTATTCACTAGGCTTTAGCTCACTGCTCATATATATATGTAGGTGTACAGGCACCGGACCGTTGCTAGAAGCGTCAGGGTAAACTCCAACTTTGTCAAGCCAACCACTGTGCCTCATTGCGAGGTTCCGAGCCTGTCAAGCCAGGGCTTTTTGGGGTGTTTTAGTTCTCCCTTTTTGTATCTGTTATATAACTACTGTTTAGACTGAATGTTATCGTACTGTACTGTCATGGTAGGGATTCGGTCCCTAACCTGAATGTCTGTATATGATGTATGTACGTACTCTTTTGTTCTGAATGTGCATATATGAATGAAAAATCTTTTTGCATACAGACTGTCACAGCTCATTGGACATTGTCTATTTACTATTTTGGCTTCCACCATGCCCTTGTACTCTGTCTTACTGTCTTACTGTTAAGCAGGCCTTCGGTAATCTCGGATTACTGGCCGGTTATAGTGTTAAACCCATAGGGGCGGGTTTGGGTTGTGACAAGTATGCGCGGGAGAAATAGAAGAGGGTACTTTGGTCTTACTACATTGAATGAGACCTAATGGAATAATTAAAAATGATTTGGGTTTTATGGTATAAAACTGTTAAGAATGGGATTTATGAAAAAAGCTCCCTAGATTAAAACTTAAGAAAATTTTAAATCATATGAAACTCATCTAATTCTGACTGAATTTATAAATACTAAGCCTTCGTTTGGTATGTAGGTTAAAGGGGCTTTTTGATTAGATTAGCTACAAGAAGACAAAATAGACTAAAAAAGTCAATAAGACAAAATGTCGCATTCAAACTATAATCATTTCACATTTTCTCTCACAAAAGTCAAAAAAAACCAAAAGTCCAACCCAAACAAACTTTTTAATTCCAGGCTAAAATAGCCAAAAAAGTCAACTCACTTTTCAAATAAGTGTCAGTATATACTATTATAAACTCACTACCACCACCACCACCATTATGCCATCGCCGCCGTCACCACCACTCACCACCACTATCGCCACTACCGCCACGATGACGATCACTATCCCTACCGCCGCCACCACTACCACTGCCACACTACTGCCACTACCATCATTATCACACCATCACTACCATTACAATATAAAATTAAAATATATAATTTGAAAATTATAAATTTCAAATTTAATCTTATACATATCAAATAATTTATTTTTAATTCAACACTTAAATTTTTATCAAATATTTTTTTAATTTAATAAATTTAACATTTAGTTTCTAATATTTAATTTTTAATTTTTAACTTTATCTAACAATACCTAAGTGTATGTGTAAAAAAAAAAGGGCTAGTTTAAACTTTAAAAAAAATAAAAATAAATTTATAGATAGTTATTTGAACTAGTTTTGTGGCCAAGCTTGACATGACAATATTTTATTTTTAACAGGGAATAATTTACTAACAAAATTTTCATATATAAACACATTTAAAATTATGCAGTAGTAACAATCTTGTAATTATAAGTTATAATAATGAATGTTTTAATTTAAAATAAAATAATCATAAAATGTCAGGTCAATGTCATTATACGTGAAATTTATGTAGAAAATTTTTATTTCTACCATTACTTTTTATAAAAGTAAACAAAATGGACAATTCTTAAGTGTGTAAATATATATTATACGTATATGTATAAATTGTTACAAATATACATAAGTTATTTAATAAAATCGTGTAAGGTTTCACAAATATATATAAGTTAACCTATACAAATTTGATAAATCACAATTTACGTATATTTATGAGAGTTGACGTGATTTTATGAGATAACTTACATATATTTATGAAAACTTACATAAATATATATTATATGCATCTTACACACCTAAACACTTTCCGTTGAAGAATCAATGCGAGCTCAAACTAGAAAAAAGTGAAGCATTTTCTATTTTTACTTTTTGACAAATGGAATAATCAAAAGGCTTTGTGAGATATAAAAGACATTGTGATTGGATTTTCAGTTCTACTCCTATTTCAAACTACATCTCTATTATAGGAAGACCTTTGTCTAATTTTTTTTTTTTTAAATTTTAATTCCAAGCACCTGTTTATTACACAATGAATCTCTCTAAGTTGATCTTGTTATAGAGGGATGTTGGAATAGAAGATAAGGGAGAGATGGAGTGACAATCCCGCGAAAGACGATAAATAATTGGTGCTCTAAAAGTTAATGATCTATCCTTGTGAGCATAAAAGATTTCTTAATGTTGTGTGAACAAATAATTTACATGTTTGTTCCAAAATATATATATATATATATAGTGGTGGTGGTGGTAGTAGTGATAGTGATGTTGAGAGAGGAGGGAAGGAGCGATGTACAAGCGAATTTTGTGTGACAAATAAACGAGAATAATTATTTGATATTTCCAAAGCAACATGTGGCATTGTTCATATGGTATTCGTAACCAATAATGTAATAAAGAAATTTAATAGATAAAACAATGCTAATAGTTGAAAAACATGGAATAACTTAATGTGTTTTGTAGTTTCTCATTTGTGGAAAGTATCTGGTAGACAATACTATTATTGAAAATAAATAATAAATTTTCAATGAAATGTGGTATCCTTAATTTTTATCAATATTTGGTGTTGCACTTTGGAGATAGAAATTTTTAAAAGTAATATATATATATGTGTGTGTGTCAATTTCCGACCACACTGCCAAACTAGTATTTAGCTAGAGAGCACCGGCAGAATAGATTAAGTCTGAACTACCTGCAACAGAAAGAAGAGATTTCGATGGTGGTTCATCCACCCGGGGGCACTCCGATGATCAATTCAGTTATCTCTCAAAGATAGCAAAAGTGCTTAACTCACTGTTCAGAATACAAAAAGCGTATCTTAGACCCATGGAGGTACCTCTATTTTACAGCCAACACAAACTTAGTCCCAATAAAAGCCTTTCAATGGCTTTAGGATTACTGCTAATCTTGGACTCCCAGTAGGATTGAGATAAACTCTCAAAGAGTCTTATCTTTACCCAAACTGAAGTCCACTATCATTCTAAGACTCTTGTCCCTTATCTGCTTATCCCGGATTCCGGTTTCTTCACAGATAACCTCGACCTAGCTGAGATGATCTCGGCGTCATGACCAGGACACGTGGCACCTTGGCTGACACATCGGTGACACCTCGGCCACATATCGTCATTCAAAATTTATGTCCCCACAATATATATATATATATATATATATAAACAAATATATAAAATAATGTAAATTCTTGTAACACATCATTGTAAATGTGTTTTCCATATTGCAAATCATTTCCCTTTTTCCAAATTGGTAGTAGTTATGTAATTTAGATAACTCAAGCACATGGAGACACAGAATAAATAAAGCTAACTTCATTAAGGAAAAGTAATAAAAAGGCTAACATTCTTTCCTCTTTCTTTTGCTAGGCAAAGAGGCTACAAGCATTTAAGCTGTAATTTGAAAGCTACCAAGTACTAATTACATACCTAAAACCAACTATATATGGACTCAAATCACTAAAATACCACACACTAATACTATATAAATTGGCCAACCTTATTCTTCTAATAACAACATTACGTACTCAGAAAATTATTCAGAAAGTAAATCAATGAATTACATTCATTGTAGACGTAATCCGCATCCATTAATTTTAAATCTATATCAATGCTTGATATGGCTTCACCATTGGAAGGAGAGAGCCACTTAGGTGGAGGGACATGACTTCATTGGTGGAACCCACAAGCTTCCCATCTATGAACACAGCTGGGACAGGTCCATTACACCCCAACCTCAAGAGAGCCTTCTCTATTTCCCTCCCTTCAGGGTCTTGATCAATCTCATGAACCATAGGGTTCACCCCAAGTTCTTGAAAAAGAACAGTCACAGCATAGCACAAGCAACAAGTGCTCTTGCTGAAAATCACTACCCCATTTTCTGACGCCACCCTTGTCACCTTATCCATCTTTCAAGAGCGTAACAAAACGACTTCGAATGCAACAGCTAAAACTTAAAATTGAAATGATGGATTGTTGCAAACCATCGGATCGAATTCAGGGACTTGAATTGCTATCCGATGGTTGTAGTTGAAGGGAGGATATGGAAAAGGGAAGTGGGTATAGGAGAGAGGAGTGAGTTTGAATGAGGTGAATATTGTTTGGTTGAATATGGGTTGTGATTTTGGTACTCTATTTATAAAACTAGGTGAGGAGAGACTTAAGAACATTCAAAAGATAGTGTGCTTTAGTTGGATGCCAAAAAACTAGTAAAGGCACTTTTCATGATGGATATGTATGTGTTTCATACACACAACAATTTGGAAGATAATTAACCATGTGATACATGTTGGGAATTCCGAACACCTAAAGCAAAATTGGTGAAACACAAAATATAGGAAGGAACAAATATATAAGAATTGTATACCTACATTGTACACACACAAACATAAAAATTACTTAAAAACTACGGTCACGTGGATTGTAGTGAATCTACTATGATAGTAAAAAAGTTAAAAAAAATACACTAACTTCAAATTTGGATCCATATTATCTCCACAGGTTATAAATTAAATCCGCAATCAAGTAGTTAATATTTAATACTTATTAGGTTTCACATGCCTGAATAGGTCAAAGTTGAGTCCGAGATCTGAATAGTTGCAAGTTGAGTCCGAGATCAAGCGGGTAGTATCTAGTACTTTCACGATCTATATTACTAGTGTCTAATACTTATCATAATCGACACTAACTAGCAATATATGAATATTTCACCACTCTTTTGTGGGTGACCAATAGTTGAAAATTGATAAAGTGGCTGATATTGAATTGGTTTTGTGACACACGTGTGCAGGCTAACGACCATGGTTTCCAACTTTTGAAGATTTCATGGACAGTATACTCTTCATGAAAATACAACAAAGAAAGTAAAAAATTCTTATATGTATGTATGGTGTGTGTGTGGTCAATTTACCTTAGATTCTCCAAATCCCAATCACATTCTTATTATTCTCTGCTCTGCTAGAAAGATGAGGAATGGAGATAGCTTTCGGTGGCTGTGATTCTCTGTCTTTGCCCCCACCCAACTTGCATTAATATTCCTTCTTCCCAGATGTCCATACAATGGCTACACATCTGTGGATGACATGTCTAATCCACAAAAAATGCACCAAGTCATTGCCAACTTAGATATATATGCATCGAAGATACATGAGGATAAGGAGAACTCTTGTGTATATATATATATATATGTTTGTGTATGCATGTTCGTATTTGTATATTTGCATAATTGTTTATGTACATCTTGTCTTCTTTAATCTTACTCGCAAATGATGATAAATGATTTATGTATTCGATCGTATTTTATTAGAACATAAAATTTAGTTTGCTTTGGTTTGGTTTGATTTGTGTACTATACATATTGTTTTTGCTGTATGTATTTGGGAAATAGTATCCATGCCGTGCACAATAGGGTGGATTTCAATGTTAGGTAGTGTGTATCCTAATGATTACTGGGTACTAACCATAGATTTCATATCCAAATTATCAAGTGAGCTTGGTCCAAACTCGAATTTGGGGTAAGGGGTCACTACAAATTTTTTTACCTTTGGCGACTAAATTTTTAGTTGTCAAAAGTCAATTTTTAGTCGTCGAAGGGCTTTAGTGACTAAATTTTTTGGTCGCAAAATTAGTAGCCAAAGTGTAGTCGGGAAAGATAATTGGCGACTAAAATTATTTTAGTCGCAAAATGTATTCATTTGCCGACTAAATATTTAGTCGCCAAAAAGTTGGACATTAAATTAAATTAAACCCTTTTTGGCGACCAAACTTTTAGTCGCCTAAAGTCTCACCTTTTTAGCTATTAAAATTTTAGTCGGTAAAGAGTTCTTTTTTTGCTACTAAAAATTTAGTCGCCGAAAATCTCCATCTTTGGCTACTAAATGTTTAGTCGGTAAAGAGTTTCTTTTTTGGCTACTAAATATTTGGTCGCTTAAAGTTCTACATTTTTTGCTACTAAAATTTTAGTCGGCAAAAGTGTGTTTATAATTTAATTTTTTATTTTTAGCTATGAAATATTTTAGTCACTAAATGTCTATTTTTTTTTTTGGCTACTAAACTTTTAGTCGCTAAATGTCTTTTTTTTTTTTGGTTACAAAACTTTTAGTCGCCAAATGTCTTTTTTTTTTTGCTACAAAACTTTTAGTCGCCAAATGTCTTTTCTCAATTTCTTTTTAGCTACTAATTGTTTAGTCACCAAAAAATGATATTATGTTTTATCACGAAATTATAATTTCTCTACAACCTGTCTATATACAATGCAACCTGTAATGCGTATAAAAACAAAATGATACATACTATCAATCATTCCACAATCTGCATCCATATACCAAAATAAATAACATTAAATATCAAAATCCATACAAATCAGCTATTGTTCAAACTAAAATAATAATTCCATACAAAATATATCATACAAAAATCAAAGCCCTCTGTATACAAAAAAATACATTTACTACCAAACGAAATTATCATTTGGCATGGTTGAAATTATCATCGTAATCTGTACCACAACAAAAGGTGATATATGTACCACGACAAAAATTTTCTATGGACCATGACAAAACGTCCTATATGTACGCCGGCAAATGGTATATATATACTACGACAGAAGGTGATCTATGTACCACGACAGTCATTATTTATTGATTGTCAAAAGTTTTCTGTATCAGTAATAATGAACTACACAAAAGCTGAGGACGACAAAAGTATTATATTAGTTCTACACAAAAGTATTATATTAGTTCTACACAAAAGCTAAGGATGAGAAAGAACTTTTTGTTGCCGGGCGCCGTTGGAAGTAGTCCTATTATATCCAAGCCCCACATTGCGAAGGGCCATGGGCTAGTTAATAGTAGAAGCTCTCTGGCTGGCTGATGTATTTGGTGTGCGAACTTTTGGCATTTTTTGCACTTCTTGACATACTTCTCTGAATCTACTTGCATGTAAGGCCACCAATATCCTTGCGAAATTGCTCTGCAGGCCAATAATCTTCCTCCTTGGTGGCTTCCGCATACGCCTTTGTGTATCTCGAACAAGAATGCCTCGACCTTGCTGGGATGGACACATTTCAAGCAAGGTCTTGTGAAGGATTTTTTGTACAAGGCCATTGATGGGAAGAGCCAAAATCGCTGTGACTTTACTCTGATCTTGTTGGCTTTTTTCTTCTCTTCAGGTAAGACGCCGTCTTTTAAGAATACTATAACGGGATCCATCCATGAAGGGCCTAGTTCGGCGCAACATACCTTAGTTACTTCGGGTTCTTCAATGCTTGGTCTTGGTAGGAAGTCGATCAGTAATGGATGTGGGATGGATGTATCTGCCATCGAACCAAAGCCTGCTAGTTCGTCTGCTCTACTGTTTTTTTCCCGGCCGATCTGCTCTATTCGCACTACTTCGAATTTCATGATTTCCCTTATGACTAATTCTTGATACTTTGTCATCCTCTCATCTTTTGCTTCGTAATCGCCTGAAATCTGGTTCATTACCAGCTGGGGGAGTCATTGCAAACCATTAGCTCGGTGGCCTGCATGAAGAGTGCTGATTTTAGGCCTGCTAAGAGTGCTTCATACTCCACCTCATTGTTTAATGCTGGAAAGCCAAGGTTGAGATGGGGACTATGCCAAGTCCTGCACCATGCCTATGGGATGCCCATCTGCGAAGAGCTTCCACATCTCTCCAACGAACAGCTTCCAGCAAGTGGATGGGTCGGATGATGTCTTGGGGTCATGAGTGTTGTTTTTTTCCAAGTCCCTAGCTGCTGTTGGGCTTTGCTTTTTATTATCTGACTGCCCCAAGTCTTCACTTGTCGATGAGTCCTTACTGGGAATGGCATGGTTTATTCCTGCGTCTTGATCTTCAAGCCTGTGTGGTTTGCAATGCGGCTAGGTATCTTGATTTAGGGGTTGTACATTTCCTGCGGCGCTTTCCGTTCCCATTCCTGTCCTACCAGTCAAGGCAACTAGGCAGATGTGATGACTTCCTGGTGTGAATTCTGCCACAAAGTCTGCCAAAGCTTCGGCTTTTATTGCGATTCTGGGTTGAAACTTGATATCAAATTGTCCCAGTTCCACTGCCCACTTAAGATTCACTCAGAGAAGTTCGCCTTCTCAAACAAAGCTTTTAATGAAAAAGCTGTTAGGACGATTATGGTGTGGGCGTGGAAGTAATGCGACAGCTTCCTTGAGGCCATCATCAAGGCTAAGGCTAGTTTTTCTAATGGTAGGTACCTAGTTTCTGCGCCCAGCAAGGTTTTGCTAACATAAAAGATGGGCAGGTGTTGGATTCCTTCCGCTCTGACCAACACTGTGCTGACTGCGTGCTGTGAAACTGCTAGGTACAGAAAGAGCTCTTCTCCAAGTACGGGGTTACTAGCAACGGTGGAGAAGATATGTACTCTTTCAAGCTTTCTAGGGCGCGATCGCATTCTTCATCCTACTCAAACTTAGCCTTTAGTGCTTGGAAGAATGGTCGACATCTGTCTGACGACCGACTTATGAATCGGTTGAGCGTGGCTGCTAGGCCAGTGAGATGCTACACCTCTTTGACTGTGTTAGGCCTCTCAAGATCCCGGATTGCTTTGATCTGAGAGGGGTCTACTTCTATACCTCGGTTGGTCACCAGAATGCTTAGGAATTTGCTTGATCCAACGCCGAATGCACATTTGGATGTATTTAGGCGCAACTTGTTCTTCTTCAGAATCTGGAACATCTCACCTAGGTCCCTAAGATGGTCCTTCTCATCCTTGCTCTTGACCACCATGTCATCTATGTAAGCCTTCATTGTTCTACTTAATAATGGTTCAAACATCTTGGTGACCATCCGTTGGAATGTTGCCCTTGCGTTTTTTAGGCCAAAGGGCATGACCTTATAACAATACAATCTTCTAGGCGTTGTAAAGGATGTGACCTCCTGATCTGGTTCATACATAACGATCTGATGGTAACCTCTGTACGCATCAAGGAAGCTAAGTCGATTGTGACCTGCCGTCAGGTCTACCAATTGGTCTATCCGTGGTAGGGAAAAACTGTCCTTTGGGCATGCCTTGTTGACTGTTTTATAGTCCACGCAGACACACCATTTTTCATTCTTCTTTGGTACTACAATGGTATTTGAGATCCACCTGG